GAGTACTTGAGCAGCGGGCTGTCACTACCTCGACGCCAGAGTGTTTGCCAGTATTCGGTACTCTAGCCAAACTGAGATCAGCAAAGTCTAACCTTAGCATTGTTTCTCTAAGTCTGAACTTGTTTTTTTATCTTTGTTCTTCGGCAAGAATACTTCCTGTGTTACTGGATAAGCCTGGACCTTCTACCCCTGGAAGGATTTACTGAGTCTCACCGTGCAAGGGGAAAACCTCCATCCGTTCAAGTCCCTTGCTGGAAAACCAAACGACATTCTGCTCCTTTACTCTTCTGGGTCCAACGTATGTCTGCCTGTCCGTTCTCCAACGAGTTCCCTCTTCTCTGGATTACATCCCCACAAACTGGATCCAAGGATAAACCAAGAGCCCCCCAAAAGTGAGTGCCTCTCCAGCAATATTCAAGCCTCAGTCTATTTTCCCACTGTCCCTGAACNCCTCCCTGCACACCTGCGGCTCGTTGGGTCATTACCAGAGGAGTACTTGAGCAGCGGGCTGTCACTACCTCGACGCCAGAGTGTTTGCCAGTATTTGGTACTCTAGCCAAACTGAGATCAGCAAAGTCTAACCTTAGCATTGTTTCTCTAAGTCTGAACTTGTTTTTTTATCTTTGTTCTTCGGCAAGAATACTTCCTGTGTTACTGGATAAGCCTGGACCTTCTACCCCTGGAAGGATTTACTGAGTCTCACCGTGCAAGGGGAAAACCTCCATCCGTTCAAGTCCCTTGCTGGAAAACCAAACGACATTCTGCTCCTTTACTCTTCTGGGTCCAACGTATGTCTGCCTGTCCGTTCTCCAACGAGTTCCCTCTTCTCTGGATTACATCCCCACAAACTGGATCCAAGGATAAACCAAGAGCCCCCCAAAAGTGAGTGCCTCTCCAGCAATATTCAAGCCTCAGTCTATTTTCCCACTGTCCCTGAACTGATCACTGTGATCTCCCCTTCAGAGTTTCCAGTTCAGGTTCACCAGTCCGCTGAGTTTCAGCATTGTTTCCCCACAGATTTTCAATCTCCATCAGTGTTTGCTAACCTACAATAAACCTGTTAAACTTTTACCCTTGGTCTCTTAGTGGTTCTCTGCATGTGGGTCAGATCTTTAAAGCCCATTATGACAAAATTCAGCTGCAAAAATATTCAGCTGCAAAAAAAAAATTCAGCTGCAAAAATATTCAGCTGCAAAAAATGTGGCTGCAAAATATTCAACAGCAAATGTGTTGACCTTTTGGTGAACTTAAGCCAAAGCAATCGACACTCGATGCAGTCGAGTGTCAATTAAATTAGCTCATTTGGTCACTTACTGACACAACAGTTGGGCGTAGCTTTGTTCCAGGCTGAATGAAGCTGATGAGGAGTTTTTCTTGTTAAATAGATATGATTACAAAACGTCAGGTAGCTACTAATTGACAGCCATTAGAATTATTCACCTAATCGGACAGGGTGAAATAACTGAGCCAATCACAGCTAGTGCGGCACCCCCGTCTGGCAAGGCTCTTGATTTGATCCAGAAGAAGCGGCCAGTTTCAACCTTTTTTTTTTATGACAAAATTAGATAATTTCATTGGCTATAAGCTGCTCAACTGCTTCAAGTGTGGAATGCTTTGGCTTGAGTTTATTTAAAGGTCAAAACATTTACAGTCAATTTTTTTTGCAGCTGAAATTCCACCAGATAAAAATTCAGTGTAAGGAATTCAATGTGTGAAAAAATTCAGTGTGTTCAAAATTAGGTGCTAATAAAATTCAGTGTTTAAAATTTGGTGAACAAAAAAAGGGTGATTTCACAATGAGACTGTTTTAATTCAATAAATAATCGCAGCCCTAATTTAAATCTTACTCTGTTGAATATTATTGTATATGGAAGGCTTTCAATTCTCAGCTATATGAAAAATTCAAAAGGAAAACAGTGATGATACATATATAGTTTCTTTGTGGCATATCCCCCAGGGTCTGCTGAGACCTTTGAGAGATGAAAGTTGACTGTTTTCACCCTGGTTGCCTCTTCAACTGAGAGGGACTGTCAGTGACAAGCAAATGCCATAACTGTATAATAATCACACAAAGCTTCAGCAGCATGACAGGGCCAACTCCTTCTAACATCGCCAAGCATGCTGCGACATAAATTATATAATGACTGGAGAGTGAACACATGATGCAGCATGCATCTAATGTGTTTAAGATGCAGAAGCTTGACATGATTTAATGAGACTGTAAATGAGTTCTCAGCAGGAGTTAATTCAGGTTTGGACGTTGATTTATGTCATGTTCAAAACAAAACTAGTAGCCCCGACTATCAATTCACGCCTACTCTATGTTTTTCTGTTGCTGCGCCTGAGCTTGAGATGGTAGGAAAACACAGCAGGTCAGAAATTTGAATTCACGTTTCATTGGATCTTTATGAAAATTTGGAAAATGGCTCATTTTAATTTTCACAATTGATACAAAAAAAAAAAAAGGAAATACTTGTAGGTGTTTCTTTGTTGATCCTCCTTTGGCAGCAATTACAACCTCAAATCTTTGTAATGCCACAAGCCTACTGTGCCTTTTTTAAGGCAGGTCGGTCTGTTCCACTTTGCTCTATGTCTTAGAAACTTTGGGCTTAACGGGAGACATCTGTGGACTGCTATGTTTAGATATCTCAATAGATGTGTCTCTTGCTTGTCCACTCCAGGACATTCACAGATTGGTTCTGAAACCAGTCCTTAAAGATCTTGGATGGGTGCTTTGGGTCTTGCTACCAGGTCTGAGGTTGAGACTTCTCTGAAGCAGGTCTTCATCCGGGATTTTTCTGTGCATTGCTTCATTCATCCTGTCTTTCATCCAGAACAGTCCGCCAGTTCCTTCATTTGAAAAACATCCTCATGGCATGTGTCTATGACCACCATGCTTCGCTTTAGGGATGTTATTGGCCTGATGATGAGTGGTGCCAGGGGTCCTCCAATAATGACCGCTCCCCTTCACACCAAAGATTTCTATCTGTGTCGTGTCTGAACAGATAATTTAGTTCTTTATGAGAGTCCCTAAGGGGTCTTTTGGCAAACTGCAGACTAACTTGCCATTTCGATTTTATAGAGGAAAAATGTTCATCTGGCCGCCCTACCATGAAGACTTGATTGTTGGATTACGGCCCAGATGATTTTTCTTGAAGATTCTCCTCTCTTACCACATGAATGCTGGACCTCCAACAGCATAAGGGGTCTTGGTTGATCAGTTTAGACCAGCTCTCGCTGCGGAGGCCATTGCGCTCATTAGGACCTTTAAATTGGCGGATATATTTCTTTATCCTACCCCAGATTTGTGCCTCAAGACAATCCTGTCTCAGATGTCTAAAGTCAAATTCTTTGACTCCATGCTTGGTGTTTCTGCTCTCTGTCGTGCACTCTCAGCTGCAGGACCTTATATAGACAGGCGTGCACCTTTCCTAATCTTGTCCAATCAATTGAATTGTACCTAGCTGGACACAGCTAAGGCTGTAGAAACATCTGGAGGATGATCATTAGTAACAGTTTGCATCTTAACTCATTTATGACCTTCACGGCAAAAGCTGTGAATACTTGAGGAAATGTGATTTCTTTGTTCTTTATTTGAAATAAATACATTTGTAACAAATCTATTGTCACATTGTGGGGTACGATGTGGAAAAAGTGCTGTGAATATTTCCTGTATGCATATCTATATTCAATTTTCTTGTTTCCATGTCTGCTTTGTCAGTATTGGTACCTGCATTATTAAGCTCTGCGATTGTAATTATTTCTCAGCATTGATCAAAAATGCACAACTGGAAATGTTAGAAAACAGGTGGGTTAACGTAGAACCAGGCCAAGTGGAGCTAGTGGGAAAGGGGGGTGTGTTCAACTCGAAATGGAACCAGTAAACTAACCTGCATGTATAATTTTTTTTAAACCAAAATTGATTAAAACTTGTTGACCCAATTCTTGTTCTCAAATTTGCTGACACTGCATGTTATACAATCATTCGACAGTGGACAGGGGACGATTAAATTCAAAGTTAAAATCCCAGATTTTACAGTGACATTCGGTGTTACTGAGCCTTAGATTGGAGCTGTGCAAGTTGTGAGGCTACAGTATTTAAAGCATCATCTTAAATACATCAGAGGTAGCTATAAAGGTCAGTACTTGTATCCATTTCCATCAAAGCATACAGGAATAAGTTTACTAAATTACACAAATGTATTTGTTTTCAAAAGCAAAGAGCAGCAGAGAGAAAGTGGAAACCTTGTCAAATAGTCTTTTAAATATCCTGCTTCATGTTTTTCCCTTCCTCTGGGATCTTTTCATCTTAATCACTTTGTTAACTTAAGTTGTTTTAGGCTTAAAGGTGCACTTCATCATTATAATCATGCTTTGTCTCAAGATATTGATTTTCTTCAACCCAGCTGAAGTAAAACCCTCCACCATGTGTTTGTGCAGATAGCAACAACAACATCAGGCAGCTTTTTCATGCAGGCAAACATTGTAACAAACACTTCAGTGTAAAACATGCTGCCTGAAATCAGGTCGACTGGCTGCATTGGAACTAGTCTACCATAGTGACTGTTTCCTCATGGAGTGAAAGATAAACAGAAGCAGCTGTTTGTCACAGAGAGGTGCAATCAGTACATCTCGTCACTAATCCTGCACGGGGTCCCACACAGTCTTCTGTAAGGTCTCTGCCTTCATTTAATCATCATCGTTACAGGCAGAGCCATCCGCTTACGCTTTACTGAAACAGTGAGTGAACCTTCACAGTATGCCCTTCATGAGATACTCTTTTAACACAACAGATCGCAGAGCTTTTTGCAACAAAATCCTACAAAACAGATTCAGATAATACATTTTTCCAGCTATATGATTTTCTCCATCAATTTGGTTTCTTTTAACCAATAAAGCGACATGAGCAAACTCAGGAATCTTGAAATGAATCTTCATCCCCGATTTCTAAAGTCCTTGTTTTCCTGTGGAGACAGACCCCCCGATGCTGTGCTGCTTACCTTCCAGGGAGGAATGGCTTGTCCTCAATTAAACTCATGGAGGCCAGGTGTAGAGCCAGACGCCGAGGAGATGAGCCTGGCCAGCATCTGGGAGGAAAACAGAGAGGAGGGAAAGACAGAGGCAGTCAAAGAGAGGAGGGAGCACGGCACCAGTGTCAGGCTGATGCTGAGGGGTCCACTAAGGGTATCCTCCTCCCTAACACTGACACACACGTGCATGTGAGCGGCCAGGTGGATGAGCGCTGGCTCCGTCACACGGCGTATGCGCTCCTCATCCTTGTGGACATGCACCGGGGTCTAGCTGATGTGCAATGAGAAGCTCATAGTGACTGTTGGTCAGAGAGGGAGGGTGGAGAGGGAGGAGAGAAAGGGGGGAGGGAGAGGGATCAACATAATACTGTGAAGATCTGAGTGTCACTGATGACTCAAAGTGCCACTCCCCACCCCATCTCATTCATCCCTGTTCATATCCAATACTTTCCCCTATTTACTTCACTTTCTTTTTTTTTTTTTGTATTAATTAAAGTTAAAGCACAGATACTCCATTTCTTCAAAAAAGTCTTACCTCCTAAACTGATTACTTTAGCTGACTACAGTAACCCTGCATAATCTTTCAAATCAGATCTTTAATCGTGTTATAAAATCATTTTTTATTAAAAATAATTTGCTTTTTATCCATGTTTCTCCTTAGTTTAGGGCAGGGTTGAAAAGTAACAAATTACATTTACTCACGTTACTGTAACTGAGTATTTTTATGAGTAATTTGTAATTTTCTGAGTAGTTTTTGAAATATATAATTTTTACTTTTACTCGGGTAAATTTTAACCTAAGTAGTTTTACTTCGCTTCATTTAAAACCCCCTCATGTTACTGAGTAAAAAAAAAGAAAAAATACTGATCGTGAAAAAATTAAATACGGCCGGAAATTTAAACCTCTGTGTTACGGAACCGACACTTAATTGCCATTAAAAAAATAGAAAAAGACTTTTGACTTTTAACAGCACTTTATTTACATAATTCAAACATATAAAAATTGATGTAAAAACAAGTGTCAGTTAAAAATCACTATTAAAGTAAAACAAGTGTCAGTTAAAATAATTAAATGAGGAGCTTGATAATAACAGTGGGATCCTGTTGCGTTTTAGTTTGATTCCTGGTATCTTTTGGACATTTTATTTTGTGTGCATTTTGAAAACTTTAAAACGTAGTTTAAATTTCTTTAGGATTCAGTAGGATTAAAAATTGTTTGCACTTTATGGTACAGGTTGTGACTGTCCTTGTGCTGTGAGGAAGTATGTTCTTTAGCCCAGCTTATCTTTTGTAAGTGTGGATGTTCACTGAAATACGCCTTGAAATCGATTAAAACACCTTGTGCTCAATTCGATTCATGACTCATCCTTTTTTGTATTAAATAACTCAAAGTAACTAAGTAACTTTTACTCGAATTACATTTTAAATGAAGTAATTTTGTACTTTTACTTGAGTAAATTTTGAGATGGGTAATTTTACTTTTACTCAAAGTAAAGATACTTTTCCTCAATTACAATTTTTTTTGTTCTCTTTCCACCTCTGGTTTAGGGGCTACAATTGCTGCTTTTTATCTTCATCTTATTGGGTCATTTTTACTATTAAGCCCAAGTGGAAAACTTGCTTTCTCAAAAAACATGTATTTAAACAGACGCCAGTTGCATACATTAAGACTATAAAGGTTCTTTGATTTTCAAAACATAAAGGTGCCCTTTCTCTTTAAATTGTGAAGATTTTGAACATACAGAAAAGCAAGGCTAATGGAAAACATTTAATACTGAAATGAAGGCTTAATAAAAAGTATATGTCACACCTCCTAAAAGGTTGTCTTATGAGAACGGCAATTATAATTAAAACTTTACCTTAAGGAACCTCTCTTCTCTTGACCAGTGACTTGGTCAATTATATTATCTAATCTTCCTTTCTTTTTAGAGCCTATAATAGCACTAAAACAGCAATGACACAGCACTTCTAATGGCCTCATATAATGGACTTAGATCTCAGTGTTGCATTTTTCAAAAATAAAATACTTACATTTTCTTTTAGAATTAAGGGAACTGCACTAGACTGGTTGGTATCTTATTTGTCTGACAGATTTTGGGTTGATCATGTTATTGATAAATCTTCCTAATAATCCAGTGCTATCCGGGGAGTACCACAGGGATCAGTGCTAGGGCCAATTCTCTTTGCTGTACTGTATGCTGCCAATTGGTAGAATTATTAGACAGCATGGGATTAATTGGGAGTGTTGGCCTAGTGGTTAGAGCATTGCTCTTGTGGAGGTTCTGAGAAGGCTGCAAGTACCCAGTTCACTGCTCCCCAGGCGCCACACAATGGCAGCCCACTGCTCCCCAAGGGGATGGGTCAAATGTAAAGAAGTGTAAAGTGATTTTCCCCATTGTGGGATAATAAATGGATTTATATATTACATTAATTCTAACTTTTATGCTGAAGACACAGAGCTTTATTTGTCCATACATTGAAAAGAAACTATCCCAACTATCCCATTGCATAGATTACAGACATGTCTTGAAGACATAAAAACCTAGATGACTATTTTTCTGCTTTTGAATGCAGAAGTTATTGGAAAAGGAGCTGATTAATCAGTCACTTCATCTGGATGAGATTATATTGGTCCTGACTATAATGGAAAAACCTTCATTTTATTTTCAATCAGGACATAAATCACATTAAGCAGGTCTCTAGAATTTCTTTGTTTTATCTCTGGAATTTTGCAAGAATTATAAATATCTTGTCCAGACGTGTTGCTGAGAAAATAGTCCATGCATTTGTTATTTCAAGACTGGACTATTGTAATTCTTTACTATCAGGATGTCCACAAACTGTAGTTAAAAACCTTCAGCTGATCCAAAATGGTATTGTCAGAGTTCTGATGAAAAATAAAAAGACAGGTCATATTTCTCCTTTCTTAGCTTCCCCTCATTGGCTTCCTGTCCTGAGTTAGAACATAATTTAAATTTCTCTTCTCACATATAAAGCCCTGAATCTTATATCTTATATCAGAGATCTGATTGTGCCTTATGTTTCTAGCAAAGTTAGATTACCCTGAGTAATCTCTATAGTTATGCTGCTGTAGGCTTAGTCTGCTGGAGGACATAGGGACCCCTTCTCATCATTCTGCTTCATTCAGTCTCTGTTCTCCCATTCTGCTTTATATGTGAGTAACTATTACTTTCCATTTTGTCTGCTCTTGTTCTTCAAAGTAGCTTCATCTGGCCTGGTTCTTTTTGGCTATGAAACCATCCTGGAGAGAAATATCAGCTGGGGCTGCAGCCATCAATACCTTCGATTATAGATGGTAGAGTCCAACTCTATCATCTATAATCAAAGGTATAGAGTTAGATCCGTTATTCATTGGACCCGTTATTTGTCCTTACAGGTAGTCCTGTTTCTCTACAAGACAAAGCTGTGAGCCCAGCTTTTACTGATTAACTCTTTTACTGATTTTTTCCTTTTGGCTTTAAAAACAGGCAAAAAGCTTGTCTACCTAACCCCGTCTTTCATATACGCAATCCTTATCTAACACACAAATTATGGATCAGTGCTTCTATGTTTCTTTTCTGTGTCTGCTTCTGTCTCGTAAAACCCGAGTCGGCATTGGCAGATGGCTACTCACACTGAGCCTGGTTCCGCTGGAGGTTTTTTCCTGTAAAAGAAGGTAGTTTTTCCTCTTCACTTTCATTGCATGCATGCTTGTTTTGAGGGATTGCTGTAGTGTCAATGATACAGTGCAGGATAATATATGCTCTCACCTCATACTTATCCAGGAGGAGTAGATTCAGCAAAGTCCATAACTAGATCTGATGCTAAGGCAGCTGTGTGTTACAGACAGTTACTGTACCTTTGTATCTGACAGTCAGGTAAAGATTATTCAAGGCCGTTAATATTAAGAGAGCCTCACAGAAGGCATAAACAGCAATACCAGCTCCTTGTCACATTATCCAGACGGTTCATGTTTAAGGTTTGCATTTAAAAAGTATTCAAACCTATCAAAACCGTTAATTTTTTTGTAATAACAATCAATATGTTTAATTGGTATTTATTGTAGTTGACCAACACTAAGTAGCACATAACTAACTCTTAGGTGATAGATCATATCAGGCTTTGAGATGTAAACCAAAGTGTGGTGCCCATTAATCACAGGCAGTTGATTTGTTTACTACCATTGATAAACAAGGTGATTTAAGAGACTTTACTAGAAAACAAAAGAACAGAGATGAACCCCTGAATTTCATACCTTCAAATAAATCTTAAAGCCTCAAAGCTTTATTTGAGATGTTCAATAAACAAACAGCATCATGCAGAACAAGGAAGACAGCAGGCAGGTTGGGGATAATGGTGTAGAGAAGTTTAGAGCAGAGATTTAATTAAATAACAAAAAAACAACAGGATATTCAAGCTTTTAATATCTCACAGAGGCCTGTTCAACCCATTATGAGTATAGAGTGTTTCCACAACAATCTCTCAAAACAGGAAAAGCATTTGTCCAAAGATATGTCTTCATCGCGGATGGCAAAAAGGAAGCTATTGTAGATAGAAAGCATTCAGATATCCTGTTAAGAACTTGCCTCTGGCCAAGAGGGAAACAAGAAACAGCCAGAACAGAGTCATCTGGTCAGACAGGTGTGTGTTGGGGAAAACTTTCCCCACTTTCCTTGATCAGCCCTTGGCTGGTCCCCTAAAATTCCTTTTTAAACAC